CATTTCGCCCTGCCTAGGAATCAAACCCAGATCTCTCGCCTGCGAGGAGAGTGCTCTAACCACTGAGCTACAGGACTCCACTTAATAAAAAAAAACTTAAATTTAATACAGCGCCTTTCATGTCAGTTTGATATGTCAAAACCCTTTATGTAATTTTATTGCAAAGTGCAGTAACTGGTGTATTTTGTAGACAATTTACACACAGCAATATCCTGCAAACAGACATGATGTGAAGGACAAATTTTCACCATTTGGGAGATTGTCAGTCAGGACATCCGGAGAGAGAAATTCCCTTCTCTTTTTGAGTAGTGTCATAGAATCTTTAACATCCACAGAAACAGGCTGACAGTTTAACGCATTGAGACATTAAACTCAGGTGATGTTAATGATCCCGTGGCGCTATTCGAAAAAAGAAATGAGTTTCTCTCTCCCGGTGTCCTGGCCAACAATCCCCCAAATAAAATTGGTCGCTCACATCATGGCTGCGTGTGGGAATGTTGCTGTGTGCAAATCGGCTGCCGATTTCGCCTACAAATACAGTCGCTCCAATTCAAGGTAAATCCTGCGAAGCGCTTTGAGACCTCCTCTGAACGTGACATGCGCTATATAACAAATGCAAGGATTAGTATTTTTGAAATATTATATCCCGTTGGAAAGAGAACAGCTTTTCCGTTCTCTCTCCCCACACCCCACCCTCAAAAGCCAGGTTAGACACATGAAATATGAGCATCATATGTGTTATGATATATAATACAGCACAGCATCTACAAAAATTCTTGGACTGAGCAATGATGTCCTGGACAATTGTCAACAATTCCCCCAAATAAAAGTTGGCCGTTCACTTTATGGCTTTTTGCAGGACTCCCTTGGGTGCAAATTGGCTGCTGCTTTCGTACACATCACACGCACAGTCACCGCACTTCACAGAAGAACCCTTTGAAGCACTTTGGGACATCCTCCTGAAGTGAAAGGAGGTGATCCCAAATGTAAAGAATATTACTGTCCATTCTCTCTCCTCTCCTGAGGTTCCTCACGCTCAACTTCAAATCCCTTCATGCCCTGGCACCTCCCGGCCTCTCTGACCTGCTTACTCCCCTACCCACTACCTCTGCTTGACTGGTTCTGACCTCCTGCATGTCCCTCGTGCCCTCTGTTCCACCATCGGAAGCAGCACTTTCAGGCACTACGTCATGAAACACTGGAACCCTCTTCTTCAATCCCTCTGCCTTCCCACCTCCTTCCCCGTCTTCAGGTCGCTCCTGAAGACCTTCCTCTTCGACAGTGCCTAAGGTGACCTCCCAGCTCCCCCCAACTCAGTATTGTGCTCCACCACTGGGACGTTACCCTGTGTGAGGGGCACTATGTAAATGTAAGTTGTTGTTGTTGCGGTTTGATTTGGTCCACGTAAAAAAAACACTCTAACTTTGCACAAAACAGTTTCTAATAATAATAATCCTTGCACATGATGTAGTGATAAATAAATAAATAAATAAATAAATGATCATGTCGTTTGAGACATCTCAAAGCGCTTCACAGAATAGATTGTAAAGTGGATTGACTGTATATTTTGTGGATGCAACTCAGCAGCCAATTGCGCACAGAGGTGTCCCACAAACAGTCGTGGATTGAATGACCAAATTATTATTATTTTTTTTCAGGGATTATTACCCTCAGAAAAACGATTTGCCAAATCGACTAACAACCGGGTACCTACTCATTGCAAGGTAAACAGAGGTGTGTGGAGTAAGGAAACTTGCCTAAGGTTTCTTCCTGCCCGGGAATCGAACCCGGGTCCTCTCGCTTGCGAGGCGAGGCTCTAACCACTCCACGGTTCAGAGTTCAGTTTAGAGCAAGGAGATATCCCAGAACTTGTTGTTGTTGTTGTATATTGAGTTGGACGTTATTCTGAAGGCTACTGTACAAGCTATAGTACAAGTAGAGCGTTGCACAGAATATTTATCAGGCTGAAAGCATACGTGATACAGATGTTATGCTATTCTAATTTAGTCCCCTTACACTGCAGTCTGGGTTCAATCAGGATTTGACCTGAAAAAACGTGCTCTTGTATATAAATCTGTTTTCTTTCCCCACCCTTCACATTTTTCCCCCTGCCAAGGCTGTAAGTGCATTTGCTTGCAGTAGTTCACCCTGAAATTTGTTGTGAATGTATTTTTGGGGGGTCAAGTATATTTTGCGGTTGAATATTTTTATCGAAGTGCTTTGAGGCGTCTCGAAGGCTTGATAATACGCGGTATCAAATGCAAGGATTATTATTATTATAATTATTGTGCAGTCATGTTTTTCAGGAAGGAAATTGTGCATTTTAATAATAATAATAATAATAATAATCCTTGCATTTGATATAGCGCTTTTCACGTCGGGAGGACGTCCCAAAGCGCTTCACAGAACACACTGTAAAGTGAATTGACTGTATATTTGTGGGCGAACGCGGCAGCCAATTGCGCACAGCAATGTCCCACAAACAGTTGTAGATTGAAAATGACCAATTTATTATTGTTTTGGGTTTTGGAGGGATTATTATTAGGCTCTGTGTGGAGTAAGGAAACTTGCCCAAGGTTTCGCCCTCTGCCTGGAATTGAACTCAGGTCTGTCGCTTGCAAAGCGAATGCTCTAACCACTGAGCTACAGGACTCCATTTTCACAGCATCAGGTTGTTTGATTTAATTAAATGGTTACAGTTTATACGCACGTGAGTGAGTGCTTGTGTGTGTGTTTGTAGGAACATAGGAACATAGGAATTAGGAGCAGGAGTAGGCCATTCAGCCCTTCGAGCCTGTCCCGCCATTCAATAAGATCATGGCTGATCTTCTAACCTAACTCCATCTGCCCGCTTTATGCCCATATCCCTTAATCCCTCTATCCTTTAGAAATTTATCAATCTCAGTCTTGAACGTGTGAGTTTGTGTATGTGTGTGTGTTTGTGTGTGTGTGTGTTTGTGTGTGTAGTGTGTGTTTGAAGGCGGTGGATTTGGGTGCAGTACAGTAACAGTTCACACTGCGAAATTGCTCTAAAATAAGTCAAAGCTCTCAATCTTGGTGAATCGCGTTGTAATGACTAGGGAATCAAAGTCTTAGCATTTAAAAGCCAACCCTCTGCACTCTCACTCCTTTCCCATCTTGAAGACGTCTCTATTGAAGCAAACAGGAAATTCTGTGCCTCTCACACACAGGCAAAAAGTGTGTGTTAGGCCTTGATGTTTGCAGTGCGTAAGGCAATGGGAGCAATCACAAGACAACAAACTGTGACCTGGATGACTTGTTTTTCACCTGCTATAAAGAACATCATTGCCCAATGGCCAGGGACTCTGAAATTCTCCTTGGTCTCAATCTTACCAACATTGCCAGCCAATTTAAAGCCACCGTAGTAATAATAATAATAATTCTTGTATTTGATATATGATATTGCGCCTTATCGTGTCTTTGAAACATCTCAAAGCGCTTCACAGAATTTACTGCAAAGTGAATTAACTGCGTAGTTTGTGGGCGAAACGCGGCAGCCAATCGCGCACAGCAGCGTCCCACAAACAGCCGTGGATTGAGTGACCAGATTGTTATTATTTTATTTTTCCCCCAATGATTGCAAAGAATTCTTAAGATTCATACCTCATCTGAAATTCCATTTTCCTTATTCAGAACAACAACAACATAATTACATGTGTATGGCACTTTTCATGTCAGGAGGAAGTCCAAAGACAGTCAGTGTTTCGGACCCGAGCTGAGGGTCAGAGTTGGGGGAGGATGGAGGGCAGAGAGGGGAAGCAGGGTGATCGAAAGCACGGTCAAAGAGGAGGGTCTTGAGATGGGTCTTGAAGGAGGCGAGGGAGGGGGCGAGGCGGAGGGACTGCGGGATCGAGTTCCAGAGGGTGGGGGCAGAGTGGCAGAGGTGGGGCGGGCGAGGCGGGGGACGTGAAGCAGGCTGGAACCCACTGGGCAGAGGGAGCGAGCAGGATGGTAGGAGGTTAGGAGGTCACAGACGTCAGGGGGAGCAAGCCCTTGAGGGCTTTGAAGGTGAGGACCAGGATTTTGATATCCTCTGTGTGATGAGAACCCAGTGGAAAACTGCAGGAAAGCGACTTCTAAATATTAAGAGTGATTTTTAAGCATTTTCCAAAAGCCTTAAGGCAATGGGTTTCCTCTTAAAACTTCAGGCAAGCTTCCTTACTCCACACGCCTCTTTTTTGGCAGTAAGTAGAATTGTTAGAGGATAGGCAGATAGCATTTCCGGGAGTAATAATCCCTTAAAAAAAATGTAATTAAAATAATTTGATAACTCAATCCACAACCGCTTGTGGGAACGCTGTTGTGCGCAATTGGCCACTGCGTTTCGCCCACAAAATATACAGTCAATTCACTTTACAGTATATTCTGTGAAGCACTTTAGACGTCTCGAAGATGTGCTGAGGCGCTGTATCAAATGCAAGGATTATTAGTATTATTTTTTAGATGTAAAATCTGGCAGAAAAATGCAGCTAAATTCTTAAAAGCCATTCCCAATCTGGAAGCTCCCTGTTCCTCCCAATTCTTAATGAAAACCAACAGGCTTCAAGATTAAGACTGAATTAAAGATGGTTTCACCAGAATCAAAATAAACGGTCTTTACAGGCTCAAACTGGGCAAAAATTAGGGTCTCAGATTCCTAATTTTGTCTCGTTTGTGGATTTTTTAATAATAATAATAATAATAATAAATAGCAGCGTCGCACAATCAGGGATCGAGTGACCAAATTATTTTAATTTATTTTGAAGGAATTATTGTCCCCAGAAAAGCGATCCGCCAATCGACTAACAACCAGGTTCCTACTTACTGCTGGGAAACAGAGGCGTGTGGAGTAAGGAAATGTGCCCAATGTTTTTCCCTGCCCGGGAATCAAACCCGGGTGTTCTCGCTTGTTAGGCGAGGGCTCTAACCACAATGTTACTGGACTCCTTTATGTACAAATCAAAGAATTCACACATAACTCTGCACTGGGGGAAAATTACCTGTTGAAAGGGCATCCTTAAAGCACCCATGTTGACGTACGGAGCAACTCTACAGGCGTCCATGTGGCTTCCCGAGCCCAGTATAACTCCTGGTGACAACGAGGAAGGAAAATATCAGTATGGACGTAGGGAAAACCCAACAGACAAGCTGGAAACAGACAGACAGCGCACAGACAAGAACAACAACAACTTGCATTTACATAGCGCTCTTCATGCTGGGTAGCGTCCTGGAGAGCTTATTAATAATATTAATAATAATAATAACTTTTGAATTTAATATAGCGCCCAACTCACGTGATTGAGACGTCTCAAAGCGCTTCACAGAAGATATTGTAAAGCGAACTGACGAAATGCAGCAGCCAATTGCGCGCAGCGGTGACAATTTGGTCAGAAAACAGTCGTGGATTGAGCGACCAAATTATTATTCTTTTTGCTTGCAATTGCGGTATAATTTGGAGGTGCCCCCCCCCCCACAGCGCGGAAAATAATAATAATCCCTGTGTTACAGCAATCCAATTTTTGTTTCATTGCTTGAAATAATTTAAGGAGAGGGGGTGGAGGGGAAAAAAACTATTTTTACATAAAGGCCTGTGCAGAGGAAAATCCCATTTGCAATGACTGGAATCTCTATTCGATGCTTCATATCGTTGCAAAGCGCATTTTAAAGGGATTTGTTAAGGGTTTAAAGGGCAGAAAGGGCTCAACAGTATGTGTTGAGCCAGTTGCAAACGTTATTTATCTCACTCAATTGTTTTTTTACTTTAACACTCCTCTGAACCATTAACCTTTACATATTTTTTGGGGGGATGTTAGATTTTTTTTCACTGGAGTATTATATTATAATTACTGTTATTATATCGCATAGATTTTTCTTCTGTGGCTTTTAACGAGAGGATATGAAACTCAAGAGATCCTATTCCACTTTGAGTGGTGTGTGTCTGTGTGTGAGGTGAGGGGATTATAGTTATTTTCTAATAATAATAATAATGAGGGGAGGGAGAGGAAAAATTATACCTTTGTGCATTTGATTTTCTTGTTTTCGACATTTCGCTCGTCTGTTTTGAAACCAGACCTGGGGAGAGAAAAAGAGAGAGAAAGAGGGAGAGAAAGAGAGAGAGAGAGAGAGAGAGAGAAAGGAAAATTAAAATCAGGCAGGCACAATAATCAATAAACTTTACTTTTTATTCAGTTTGTCACTTGAGGAAGACAAATGAGGGAAGCAATGGTTCGCTCTCACACAGCTAATGTGCCGTAGAAACGTGTAATCTAATATATATATATATATAATATATATATATAACCAGGGAGAATGAAAGAGAATGTGTGTGAGAGAGAGAGAGAGAGAGACTGAGTGTGGGTGAGCTTGTGATGGAGAGAGAGAGAGTGAGAGAGAGACTGAGTGTGGGTGAGCTTGTGATGGAGAGAGAGAGAGAGAGAGACTGAGTGTGGGTGAGCTTGTGATGGAGAGAGAGAGAGAGAGAGAGAGACTGAGTGTGGGTGAGCTTGTGATGGAGAGAGAGAGAGAGAGACTGAGTGTGGGTGAGCTTGTGATGGAGAGAGAGAGAGAGAGAGAGACTGAGTGTGGGTGAGCTTGTGATGGAGAGAGAGAGAGAGAGAGAGAGAGACTGAGTGTGGGTGAGCTTGTGATGGAGAGAGAGAGAGAGAGAGACTGAGTGTGGGTGAGCTTGTGATGGAGAGAGAGAGAGAGAGAGAGACTGAGTGTGGGTGAGCTTGTGATGGAGAGAGAGAGAGAGAGAGACTGAGTGTGGGTGAGCTTGTGATGGAGAGAGAGAGAGAGAGAGAGACTGAGTGTGGGTGAGCTTGTGATGGAGAGAGAGAGAGAGACTGAGTGTGGGTGAGCTTGTGATGGAGAGAGAGAGAGAGAGACTGAGTGTGAGTGAGCTTGTGATGGAGAGAGAGAGAGACTGAGTGTGGGTGAGCTTGTGATGGAGAGAGAGAGAGACTGAGTGTGGGTGAGCTTGTGATGGAGAGAGAGAGAGAGACTGAGTGTGGGTGAGCTTGTGATGGAGAGAGAGAGAGACTGAGTGTGGGTGAGCTTGTGATGGAGAGAGAGAGAGACTGAGTGTGGGTGAGCTTGTGATGGAGAGAGAGAGAGACTGAGTGTGGGTGAGCTTGTGATGGAGAGAGAGAGAGAGAGAGACTGAGTGTGGGTGAGCTTGTGATGGAGAGAGAGAGAGACTGAGTGTGGGTGAGCTTGTGATGGAGAGAGAGAGAGACTGAGTGTGGGTGAGCTTGTGATGGAGAGAGAGAGAGACTGAGTGTGGGTGAGCTTGTGATGGAGAGAGAGAGAGAGAGAGAGAGAGAGAGAGACTGAGTGTGGGTGAGCTTGTGATGGAGAGAGAGAAACTGAGTGTGAGAGAGAGACTGGGAACTGAGAGAGAGACTGAGTGTGAGAGCGTGTGTGAGAGAGAGAGAGAGTTTCATTCATTTAATAATGTAAAAGACAGACAGACAGAGAGAGAGGGAGAGGGAGAGAGAGGAGGAGAGAGGGAGAGAGAGGGGGAGAGAGGGGGAGAGAGAGAGGGAGAGAGAGGGGGAGATGGAGAGAGAGGGGGAGATGGAGAAGGGAAAATGCCAAAGATAAATTGACTTGTTGGTTAGTAAATAAATAACATCACTCGAGTATATTACAACGTTTAACGGGAGAGAGAGAGAGGGGGGAGAGAGAGGGGGAGAGAAGGGGAGAGAGAGGGGAGAGAGAGGGGAGAGAGAGGGGAGAGAGGGGGAGAGAGAGGGGGAGAGAGGGGAGAGAGAGAGAGGGGGAGAGAAGGGGGAGAGAGAGAGAGGGGGAGAGAGAGGGGGAGCGCGGGGGAGGAGAGAGAGGGGGAGAGAGATAGGGGAGAGAGAGGGGAGAGAGGGGGGGAGGGGGGGGGCATTTAGGCTTAACTCTACCGATGGGGTTGTTTGTAGGAGTTGTTAACCTGTTCTGTGGTGTTCACAAACGCGGAGTAGACATCTGTCACTGTGTAATTTAGACTTATGAGAGGGCAGAGAAGGCAATCGAATTACACCTTAATATATTTTGGTTTTCATAGCGCGAGGTTTAAATTAAATCTCATTACTCACTGTCGCTAATGGAAATCAAACCCCCCCTCAAAAAGAGAAAGAAATGATATTACTCTATTTCTAAATATATACTCATATATATATATATATTTGGGGGAATACGGGAGAGGAGTTATTCTTAAGAAAGGAATCGATTTGTGCGATAAGATCCTGTATCAAATGCAGGGATTATAATTATTATTATCATTACTATTATTACTCTCATAGGTTTATTACTCGAGATTGTTTTGAAACGCTTTCACACCAATTGACTGTTCACACCAAATTATAATCGACTCAACTGCGTAATGTAGTTTCCACATGTAGTCATCTTTATTATTATTATTAATAACTTTATGGGGTGGGGGGAGGGAAAGAGAGGGGGTTTACGCCTTAATAT